GCCTCTTCCGCCGCTGCCCCGGGGCAGTTTGGATTCAGCCCCCCGGATTTTAACCCCATGCAGCCGCCGGGCTCGGGACTGCTGCCGCCGCCCATCAGCAGCGCGGTGCCCCAGCTCTCGCCCAATTCCCAGCGGCGCACCCCTTACGAGTGGATGAGGCGCAGTATTCCCAGCACCAGCAGCAGCGGTAAGTGCCCCCCTCCACCCCGTCCCTGCAGCCCAGCTCCTTCCTCTGTGCACAGCAGTCCTACGCTACAGTCCTGCGGGGCCGGATCCTGCGTTGCGTCCGTCCCACCGCGGGGCTGGAGGGAGACCGTGCGCAGCTTGGCGTCCCCTCCCCAGGGACCTTCGGCTGCTCGTCCAAGCCAAAAAGCCGAAGGGATCCCGCTGGGAAGAGCCATGGGGCCAGGGCAGCGGGGCGGCACAGGGTGAGGATGGGCACCGAGGACTTTTCTGGGAACGCCAGCCTGCGGATCGCCCCGTCTTCCTGTGCCTCTGGCTGCTGGGTTTAGCGCACGGTTTCTGCTTGGCGTGTGGTTGGAAATCCACCCCACGGGCAGTCGCCCATGTTGGGAATGCCCTGCCAGCCCCGAGGGTGTCCTGGGCGCGCAGGGGTTGCAGTTGAGCGCTGGAGCCCTTGGAAGGGCCGCACAGCAGGACGTGGCCAAGAGCCCAGGGTGCAAGCGCTGTGCTCAGGGGGTGCGTAGGGGAGCACGAACACACAGTGGGGGGCTCCACGTGTGTGCGGGAAAGGGGCCTTCTGCAGTGCAAGGGGCATCTGTAGTGAGTATGAGTGCTATGAAGTGCGTATGAACGTGTGCAGGGAAGGTGCCATACGTCTATGCATGGGGACAAGATGCTGGATGCACTGCTTGATGTACGGTGTTGCACGCAGTGTGTGTGTGTGCAAGGTGCCATATCCAGTGCATGTGTCAGGCGCTGTGCATGGGGGTGCCTTATACTATATGTGCGTGTGCAAGGTGCTGTGTGCTTGGGGAAGGTGCCCTGTGCTGTATGTGCGTGCCCAAGGTACCGTGCGCCGTGTGCTTGTGGGGGTTCGGTGTGCCTGGGGGAAGGTGTGCCGCATGCAGCGTGGGTGCAAGCTGTGGTGACTTTGGGGAAGGTACCCGGTGCAGGGTGGGTGCCGGTGCTCTGTGCACGTGCCGCACGCCGCATGTGCGTGCGCGGGGGCTCTCTGGGCACAGGGCATGCACTAGGCGCAGTGTGGGTGCCGTAAGCTGCCTGAGCCGGTGCTTACTGCCATGCCACCCGTGGTCTGCTGTCCCCTCGGTCCTGTCCCTGCTGTTCCCTGGCTGCTGTCCCCACTGTCCTCCAGGTCTTGCCCTGCTGTTCCCCTGGTCCTGTTCCTACTCTCCCTCAGGTCCTGACCCTGCTGTCCCCCTGGGTCCTATCCCCACCGTCCCCTTGGGTCCTGCTCTGCTGTCCCCCAGGTCCTGTCCGTGCTATCCCCCAGGTTCTGTCCCCACTGTCCCCTGAGTCCTGTCCCTGCTGTCCCCTAGATCCTATCCCTGCTGTCCCCCTGGGTTCTGCCCCTGTTGTCCCCCAGGTTCTGTCCCCGCTGTCCGCTTGGTCCTGTCCTCGCTGTCCCCCCTAGGCTCTGTTCTGCTGTCCCCTGGGTCCTGCCCTGGGGTCCCCCAGGTCTTGTCCTTGCTGACCCCTAGATCCTGTCCCTGCTGTCCTGCAGGTGCTGTCCCTGTTGTCCCCCAGGTCCTGTCCCTGCTGTCCCCCAGGTCCTGTCCCTACTGTCTG